TCAGTGAGAGAAGCTGTATCACCTTTTATGACTTAAACTCAGAGTCGAGCAGTGTCAACTTCCTCACTTCTCATTAGTTAGAGAATGTCTTCAGCTCTTCAGCCCACCAGATTCAAGAGGAGGGAGTGGCAAGGTTCTAGAAAAGTATTTTGGATGAAAAAAAAAGGGGTTCTGTGTGAAGTAACATCACAGGAGGATCTGATCATAAATTCCTAACTGAGCAGGTCATGGTGGGTAGACACAACCAAGTTGTATAACTTTTTAGTAAAAGGTTTATCTTTGCCTTAAGCAAGCCCTGTCCATTGTAACCAGAGGCATCTGGGTTAACACGCCTTTGAAATAAGTTTGAAATAACCACCTCAAGAGGGCACATAATCCTGTAAACTATCCTGTCGTCCCATGCCTGCCCTGCTTCTCCCACCTCCATGTAATCTTCCTTAGTGCCCTCCTTAATTTCCAAAGCATGAAGGAAGCTGCAAAACTGTTCTTCTTCAGAGCATTTGAGATCTTGTTCCTCAGCATATATCATCAGTTTCACTCAAATAAACTCTTATTAAAAACTCTCTACAGTTTTGGACATTTTTTACACCAACAGCATAAGGAGAGGACATATTGTTGCGATTTTTAGAAAAATAAAATCCACCACAACCTCTATCAGGTTTCTCCCATACCTGAGTTCTTGCAGATACGCTAATTACTTGTCATATAGATATATGATAACTTCTATTTCTTGAGTCCCATCAAAGAGAAAAAGGCATTTAAGACATCATTGAACACATCTCCTTCAGGAGAACTTCTGTTTTGATCAGGTTACTATGGGAACTAAATCTTCCCCTTAAAATCTGATGCGTCTGATTTGACGAATTTTCCAGAGACTAGTTTCTGACTGTGTATTTTAGATCTTGTTTCTCTTCCTCTATTTTCCTCACCCTGTGGTACAACTTCTGGCCTTGGGCCTCTCTGCGCCACAATGCCTGATGAGTTGGTACAGTGGGCGGTCGGAGTATTTTTGGAAACTATTCCTAAACCAGAATGGCTGACAGTACCTTCACTATACATGAAACTGACTGCAAACTAAGTATGTCTCACTAAACTGAATTCAAACGCAACTCTGACTCAACTTCTCCTTAGTCGAGCCTAAAAATACTCACAGTCATATCAATGCTAACAGAGGAGGTAGAAGAATGGGAAGAATTTGGTCTTAGCCAGATGTAGTTAAAATAGCTCACTTTTGCTAACTTTATGGGCACATGAATGATCACAAGAACTTATTGTGAGGTTCCTCAGAACCTTGGAAGGGCATGTGCTAGAGGAGGACCCAGTTTTCGCAATATCAGCTTCACAGCAAACCCACCTCTGCCTGGTAATACAGTTAAGTATTATTTAAGCATTAACTGTTAATATTGGCTCCATTTTCTGACAGGTCTTCTTTTAGTGGTGGCAAGATGGCGGCCTCCAGCAGCTCCAGCTTCCTTCACCAGGATTTACTTTGCATCAGCCTGGGTCATGAGTCGCAGGGGCCCATCTCCTGGCCAGGGCGATTCCACCCGCAGGTTTGCCAGCCTGGGCCATGGGCTGCGTTATTGCCCTGGAGGATGCGGGGCTGAGGGTGGGCGGGTAGGAATTGGGGGGACTTAAAGGATCTATAACTGCCTAATGAAAAAGTAAATGTTCATTTACTATGAGTTTGAGAAGAGAGAGTGGTGGGAAGGGGGAAGGCCACTGTGGGAGTTCAGGGCTAGTCACCCCAAGATGTGTTTCTGTGGTGTTCAAATTGTTTTGAGCTAAGAGCATCTTTAGCTGTGGGCTCAGGAGAAACTTCTGCCCTTCCCTTGGCTACCTTGAATTAGGGGCCTGGCCCATAATGGGAGATTATCAGAGATAACCTCTTTTCACCTGTCTAGTGGGCAGGACAAATTTGTATTTACTAAACACCTGCTCTTCTTTTCATTTTATAATGACCTCTTGAAGCCCCTAAGGCTCGTTACCTCATCCCTAGTTCAGAATGTCTTATATACCAATGTTCTCTTTCTTGGGCTTGCATGGGTCTTTGACTCTCTTGATGCGTATTGAGTTCCTATACACATGTATGTATTAAATTTGGTTATTTCTCTCTCTTTTTAAAAAAATCCTCACCCAAAAATATGTTCATTGATTTTAGAGAGAAAGGAAGGGAAGGGAGAGAGAGAGAAAGAAACATCGATGTGAGAGAGAAACATTGATTCGTTGCCTCCTGTGTGCACTCTAAATTGGGGATTGAAACAGCAGCTTTTTGGTGTATGAGACAACGCTCCAACCAACTGAGCCACCTGGCCAGGGAAAATTTGGTTATTTTCTCTTGCCAATCAGTCTCATGTCTAGTTGATTATTAGAACAGCCAAAAGAACCTTGAGGGTAGAGGAAAGTTTGTTTCTCCCCCACACCAGCAAGGGGGAGGGATGACAGAATGGAACATGGAGGACCTGAAGACCTCTTCCTACAAGCATGTCCCTGCCTCGAGGACCCCATTGGCCTGTGTGAGCCCCGTGCGGCCTCAGCCATGCTGAGTTGTGTCTGCTGGCCCTGCTCCAGACTGACTGCTTCCAGATTTCCCCTGCCTCTCTTCTGTCTTCTTGCCCTCACCTTTGTCTGTCTTGACCCTATTTCTAATTACAGCCTTACAGGGTCAAGTGTAAGGAGATCAAGGAGACTTAAGCCAACAACTTTTCTTCCTTGATCCCAGCCTTTCCCCCTTTCCATCTTGGGTTCCAATTAAGTAAAATCCTAAATCTTGGCACATAAGTCTTGAAACTGCTATTGGAGAGTCCTAATCCCCTCATCCATGCAGAACTCTGTGGCTGGCTCCCTTATAGGCCTGCACTCTCTAATAAGGCAGCCATTTCCTGACCAGTGTGGCTCAGGTCAACACCTGTCGTCCAGTAACCTGAAAGGTTGTAGATTCAATTCCTGGTCAGGGCATATAACTAGGTTGCAAGTTTCGGTCCCCAGTAGGGGGTGTGTACAGAAGGCAACTAATCAATGTTTCTCTCTCTCTCTCTCTCTCACCTCTCTCTCTAAAGTCAATGAATGTATCTTTGGGTGAGGATTTAAATAAATGAATGAATGAAGGAATAAATAAATAAACACATGGCAGCTGCATGTGGCTACTATATTACATTTGAAATGTAGCCAGTCTGAATTAAGATATGTTGTAAGTGTAATACACACAGTGGTTTTTGAATACTTAGTATGAAAAAATGTGAAATATCTCATTAATATTTTTACATATTGATTACATGTCAAATTGAAAATATCTGGGATTATTGGGTTATATGAAATATATTATTAAAATAATTTCACTTGTATCTCTTTGCTTTTTAAAATGTTGCTAGTACAAAATTTAGTCTGACACACATGGCTCCCATGACATTCTCATTGGCCAGGACTGCTGTAGAAGCGTTGACATGCATACGTACCCACGCAATTTTGATTACAATTTTAGGAGCTGGTGGGAGTGCCCTCAATCCCATCCATGGGCGCTAATCCCAAATCAAGACTCTGAGTCAGGAATTTATGGTTTTCACCAAACCCACCTTCTACCACAGCATCACTGCACGGATAGGGGACACTGAGCAGCAAGACGTCGCACTTCTAGTACAACCAGCTGGCGCTGGGCATCCCTCGGGCTGCAGCTCTGCCTCACGAGGCCCCTCCCCATGGGAGGCCTGCATCCGTTCAGGGAGATGTGAAATCTGTCCGCAGAGGGGCATATTTCCTCAGGACTCCTGCGGCCCTGGGATGGCTCTGGGGCTGACCCACGGAGAAGACTCCATGGCGAATGGGCTCTAGGCTGGCTGAGCCCACTCTGGGGAGGGAACATGGGCGTTTGGCCCAGAGAGCATCGTCCCTGTCTTTGCCTCTCAGCAGCCTGGAATGTTGTGCATTGCTTCATCTATGACCCACTTTGGAAAAGTTGTTCTTTGTAGTTTTCTACATTTTCTACTTTTTCATTAGATTTTCTATCTGGTTCACGCAAGTTAGAAATATTTTCCACTCAATTCGTTTTTACTTGTTCATAGACCTGTATTTTCTTTTTTTGGCTAATTGTGTAATAATACATTTTAGATCCATTTGCAATAATTTAACATTAATTCAGTTTCACTTGCCTTGAAAAAAACAAATCATTATTGTTCAATTACATAGTCAATTAACAGTGAAATGACTGAATTTATGTCATTTCAGGAGAACATTTAGTGTTCTGATGCACATTAAATAATTTAAATAGATGGCTTCACTGAGCTGGGGTTGTTGTTTTTTTTTCCCTGTAATATTATCCAACAGTTTCCTGACTGGCTTCTTTTACCTTTATTACAAAGTTTGCCATTTGAGTCAAATGAAAATCCTCTAAACTCTTAGGACCAGCCATAAGGAAGGAGCAAGGGTAAAGCTGAGGATGAGGGGTCTAGAACCAGAGCCCAGAGCACCTGGCAGTGCTGCAAGTCTGCTCCGGCACCTCTACCAGGACTGCCCCGGGCTCCCGGCTGTGCACAGCTGCCAAGGAGGCCTGGCCTCTTGCCTGTGCCCCATGCACAGCCCTCCTCCCGCAGATGCTGGCCTGGCTCTGGCTGGGGCTGGGCTCTAGCGGTGTCCTCAGGTCTGCCCCCAGCCCATGCTAGGGCCGCTGCCTCAGGGGATCCAGGTCCTGCCACTGCTGCTGGGACTCGCTGTAGCCGCAGTCCTGACGCCCCGTGTCTGGGAGTGGCGCTCCACCTGCGAGTCCTGGAACCCTGCCAGAGGTTTCTGGAGATGCTGGTTGACCCAGCCTCTTGGGGAAGAAGAGAAGGTTCTGGGCTGAGCGAGTGATCTGGGGGTGGAGCCCCAACCTGTTTAAAGGTTCATGGCTCCTCAGAGGCTGGCAGATTCACCGCCAGTCCCGTCCCATTGGAATAATTGCTGCCAGCCAGGCAGGGAGCTGGCATCTTGGCAGGGGCTCGGGCTGGAGCGGAGCTGAAAGAGGTGGCATGGACAGACTGACACCTAGGGGACCACCTGGCCATCTTCCTCAGGTAACCCTTCCCCTCCTCGCCTCCGAGGAGCACAGTGGCTGGCTGCGCGTCACAGAAGGAGATGCCCCCCAGGCCCAAAGCCCACCACTGCAGACCGGGGACTTCTGGAACTGGCTGGAGCCCAGCAACCACCCTGTGTCTCAGAAGTGCTGCCAGCCCAAATCCTGATCCACTGCCAATTATTTACTGTGCCCAAGAGTGATAAGGCTGCAACTAGGCCAAGGAGGCTTCCAAACTGCTCACTCCAAGCCTGCCATGTGCCATGTGCCTCAGTGCAGACTTCTCATTTCTGCCAGGGAGCAAGGCTAGGGGGACTGGCTCCTCAAATCTCCCCTGGAACTCCAGCCAGTGACTACGAAAGGGGCTAAGTGTGCCGAGTTCTCTGTCCTAAGCCATACACCTTATTTGCAAACCTTATCCAGCTTCTGAGCCTTGGCCCTGAGATCCAGGCTGGAGTGGGGTCCAGACAGGCTGTTCCAGGCTGATGCTCTCAGAGAAGACTTGCTCGGGGCAGACCAGACACCAGGGAACCCCGAGGAAGATAGAGAGGGACCTGTCCAGTGTAGGACACTATTGCGGTGACCCTGGGAGCCTGAGTTCACCCTCCCATCTGGGAAGCACCTTGCCTCCCACTGATGTGCCTGGAACTGGCTGAGTCCCCAAGACCAGGCTCTGGGTGCCCGGCCTTCAAGGCGGGCCTCAGCGGGGTCCTCCCCCAGGTTCTCCCTGCGGGAACGGAAGACTGGAGCCTGCCGTGACAGCAGGAGCTTTGGCTGCCAGGGCAGGCCGGGCATCTAGAACTTGCTTTGGGTCGTGCCTGCTTTGCTCAGCCTGACTCAGGAGGTACAGGGCCCAAGGCTGTGCTGCAGCTTCCGTTCTCTCCAACCTCCTCAGGCGCCCCCCATCGTGGATCACTCAGTGCCGGCAGGCGGACAAGGCAGCCTGATCACTCTTCTCTTTCTGCTGAAGGCACCATGGTTACAGATACTCTGGACCTGGGTCTGGGACTCCCTTGGGCCACATCCCCTAGGGTCCTCTCCATGAGGAGGAGGATGGGGTAGGTCCCGGGGTGCCTGCACTGCACCCAGTCGGGGGGCGGGGCGGTGGCCGGAACTCTCTGCAGGGAGGCGCTCCCAGGGTCCTACAGGGACCTGGGTTGGGGCTCCCTGCTGGAGAGCTCCAAGAGCGTCCAGGGTCCGTCGTTGATTAAGGCAGTATTTCAGGTGAGACAGTCTTTCAATGGGGAAAATGAAGCTCCAGTGCCCTCAGGAGAAAAAGAATCCTACTAGTTAGCATGTTAGTTCAATAATAGTATTTGGCAAATCTATGAAATTCTAGTGTCTAGATAGCCACAGGACAGTGGGGAAAATTTGCATGGTTTTACAAAGAGGCAAAGTCCTGGGAAGGTGGGATAGCACAGGGGTGGGAGCTCTGGCCCTGAAGACCCGGCTTTGAATCTAACAGTGTCACCTACTAACTCTGGGACTGAGGGCACGTTAACCGTTCTGAGCCTCAGGTCTCTCATCGCAAAATGAGAGGAAATGAGAAAACTATCCTAGGAGGTTTTGGGGAGGATAAACCAAATTCATAAATGCAATATGCTTAGTATAGCACCTAGAAACAGAACAAGCACTTAATAAATAACATTAGAGCAATTACCTAAAAACTGTGAGCATTTTTGAACATTCTATAAACATTTAGCCTCAGATCACTGTGTGAGGTGGATACTATTATTAGTCCCACGACCTATGAAGAAATGGAGGCACTGAGAAGTTTAGTGGCTTGTTCAGAGTCACACAGCAAGTAAGTGGAGGACCAGGGTTTAGATCCAGACAACCTGGCTGGGAGCCTTGATTGACCACACTTCTCTTCTGCCCCCAGTAATGATCAGTCATAATTATTGTCAGGGCCCACCCTCTGGGTGCTCTGTGCTAGCAGTGGTCTTAGAGGTAAAGAGAAATGGGGTTTTGTCCTAGGAAAAAATATCTTGCCAGGGGACAAGGGACTTCCTGAGGTTCAGAGGCTCTCGGTGACTGGAGACAATAATGCTCAAATTGGGCAATGTGACCGGATGAAAAGGGAGCATTTGGGGGCACTTCTTAGTAGCCCCAATAGGGTTTGGAGGGTGGGCTGCCTCTCCCCTCCCCCGCCTCCATGCTGAAGTGCGCACTAAAGCACAACCCCTGCAGGACCTCAGGATCCCAGCCAGCGCCTTCTCTGTGGCGGGCAGTGATGGGGGCTGGGTGCAGGGAGGGCGGGGAGCCAGGCGTCTCAAAGCTCATTAAATCCCTGCTCTGGTTAAATGTCAAGCTCTGGTTTAAGACCTCTAGAGTTGAAATGTTGCTAGTGTCACGAGAGCTGATTCCCAAGAAGGGAGAAACAAGCCTACCTTACTGGGGGGATTCTCCGTGCTCGGCCAGAAATAGGGCAGGAATGACGCGGAGCCACAGGAGAGGGACAGCGGGGAGACCGAGGGGTGCAGGGCGGGGGCGGGGGTAGGATGCCCAAGGGCTGGGCTGTGGCCCACTGTCCTGGAAGGTTCTCTGCGGGGGGTGGAGAGGCCTGTCCTGCGGACACTGAGCCGTCCCCTCGTAAGGAGCACCTGCGCAGAGCAGAGACCAGCTCCTGTTGGGAGAAGAAACATCCGGATCCATGAGCACCAGAGTGGGACAGGTCCTGGGAGAGTGCAAAGCAGGGAGCAGTCTTGGTTTCTTCTCTCGCTATCTCCCAACTACTCCACAACGCGTGTCCAGCTCGCAAGCACGGTGCTGCCTCTGCCTCAGACCACAGGGGCTGATTATAAGAAACGTGCGCGGGATGCCCAGAAAGGACACACAGCCAACCCTCAGGAAGAACAGAAACCCTGGTCCCAGCAGTGCCAAGGACCTCATGCGAGGGGTTTGGGGATACACCCCTAGCGCCCTGTCCCCAGCAGGACTCAGCCACCCCCTACCTGTCCTCTGCTCTTCTTCCTGCCACCTTTTTCTGCTTGTCTTCTCTGCCCCTCCCAGCTTCTGTCTACTCGGTTTCCTCTTCCTCCTCACTGAGCTCGTCTGTGTGCTGATGTGATCTCGCCAGTATCTGAACACCCAATGGCCTTTTACCCACTGCTCACAGTAATAGCCTGATGCTCTTGGAATTTCCAAGAGAGGGTGAATACCTGTGACTCTTACAGACCACTGGGCTCCCCAAGGCTCAGCCTCCCCGGAGTCACGCTTCCACTTCCTGTCCCGGGGACAGGGGCATGCTGGGCAGCCGGGTCACATGCTTTAACAAAGGGCTGCCCTGCCTGGGAGCTCTAGGGGTGGCCGACAGCAAACTGACCTGTTCAGTGTGGTGGCCATTCCTTAGCCCTCAGTTCCCTGGCTTTCTCCACTACACTGTGCAATCCTGTTTCTGAAGGGGAATGAGTCCCTCAGATTGCACATCTCCCCATCCAAAGAGGTCGGCCATTCCCTCACTGGTGCAACCCAGAACCACTGCCCCAGGTCAGAGGTGGGTGAAGGCTGTTTGGCCCCAGAACACCTGGCAGCATCACCAAGCACCTCAGGAGAAGCCTGGGCTCGGATTGGTGGAGCTCATGAGTGAACAGGAGGGATTCATTGGTCTGGTATTTCTCTCCAGGGGGAGGCCTCTGTCTGCTGGCGGCTTACCGTGAGGGTCCTGGAGGCGCGGGGCCTGGGCTGGGCCGACATGTGTGAGTAACTGTCTCCTGGGCTTCAGGGCTATAGGGATGACTAGGTCCTATGGGAAAGGCCCAGACAAGTGCCTTGGGATTGGGCTGGGCCGGGTTGCCCACTGTGGCCTCCGGGACCGTGGTAGGAATCTGGTGAGGCCCCTGGAAAGAGGTGTGAGGAATTCTCTCTCACAGTGTTTCTCTTGATGTTGTCAGTGAGCAAGGCAGATCCCTATGTGGTTTTACAGCTGCCAACTGTGCCTGGAATAAAGTTTAAGACCAAAACAGTCACCAACTCCAGTCATCCTGTATGGAATGAGACCTTCAGTTTCCTAATCCAGACTCTGGTCAAGGTAAGGGTTGGGCCACCCACCTGAGGACAGTCTGCACCTTGAGCAGGGAGGATTCTTGGGATGGAGCACAATCTCCTCCAGGTTTGGGTTGTTGTGAGGTTAAATGAGATAATGCACCCCCAGTGCAGGGCCTGGCGCACACGGCGCCTTAGGGGACCAGCAAAGCAGAGGGGTAGTGGGAGGGAGAATTCTCTGAGTTTTATTTTTTATAAAAATAAAAATTAGCAGGAGAAAATTAGAAACTTTTTCTGGTTTTCTTTTACTGCTTGTAAGTTTTACTGTTATTTTCACTTGGAAGTACAAAGTGTGGAGGCATAAAAATCTTTTTTGGCTCTGATTATCAAGTAAGGATTCAACAGAGATGGGCTACAGCTATGAGTAAATAGTATGCTGAGTTGTTGTTCTTGGGTCCCTAGAATGTTCTGGAGCTGAGCATCTATGATGAGGACTCAGTCACAGAGGATGATCTTTGCTTTAAATTTCTCTATGACATCTCAGAAGTCCCCCCTGGCAAGCTGCTCCGGAAGACCTTCTCCCTGCGTCCCCAGGTGCGTCGGGAGTTCTCATGGGATCCAGGCTAAGGCGGCTTCACAGTTTCTTCCATCTGTTGGGATGCTGCTGGGTTGAACTCATTCATAGAGAGATGCAAACCCCTCCCAGGGGATATTTACATTTTAATAGGAAAGGTGATGGCTTCACTTGACTGTTACAGAACTGAATCATTCAATGGAAAAATTTTACTGTCCATGGGTGGTGAAGAACTTCCTAACATCCCTCAAAACACAGCTCGGTGTAACTACCCCTTGGGGCATTGGTGGCTTCACCCCTCCTGCCAAGGCCTGCTTTATGAAGGGCCCTGTGTTCTGCTTCAGCAAGTGAAGGCTGGGTAGGGGAGGCCAGAGTTCTGGGGTCGGATCCCCCTTCAGAGGAAGATGAAACGGGCCCAGGGCATCTTCAAGCCTCTTTGGGCTTGTGCACCTCGTCCCCCTGTTCTCTGCAGACTTCCTTAGCTGCGGGAACCTGGGCAGGGAGCCCGTCTTTCCCTAAGCTTCAATTTCCTCATCCATAAAATGGGAAGGATTGTAACAACTTGCCTCCCTTAGAGGCTTGAGATGATGAAATAATGACTGTAAAAGAACTGTGTCAGCTCTAAAGACTTACGTACATAAATGTTGACAACTTGCTCATCTTTGATTTCAGGGACAGGAGGAACTGGATGTGGAGTTCCTGATGGAAACAACGTGAGTAGTCTCACACTGTCCAGGGAGTGTCTAAGGACCCGGGCTTTATTAAGGGACATGTCATTGACCCAGATCTTCCCATTGGTCTGTCCAGCCCGGATTCCCCATCCCTCATCTCCTCACTCCCACCGTTCTGGGGTGGCGGGGAAGGCGTTGGAGGTGGGGGGGATCCTTTCAGAGAAACGAGGAGGTCAATATTTTCTCTGCCCTACTCTCCTTAGCTTTCACTCCTCAGAAGCACCTCCCTGCACCCTGAATATTATTCAGGACTTGGAGAACCCTCAGCGTCATCCAGGGGGTCCCCACATGGGTGGAGCCTTGGCTGCAAGGGAGGCAGGAGAGCTTTTGCCTCTGCAAGGCCAAACTGTGGATGGTTTGATTTTTCCAGGTCAGACCGCCCAGAAAACCTCATCACCAACAACGTCCTTGTGGTAACCGTTACCTTCCCCAAGCTTGTAGGGGGAGCTGAGGTGGGAGTGGACCAGAAGGGACAAAGCAAGGACAGGGTTTTAGGGAAAGACCACCCCTGGCCTTTCAGTTGGTGGTCACCTAGGGGACTTGGAGGGGCCTGGGGCTAAAAGGAACATGGAGAGATGGGAGGGTGAGGCTATGCTGTGATAAGGTTCTGGCTCAAGGCTGTAGGGTGGAAACAGTGCTGGGGGAACTGTAAGTGCTTCCTGACGTGTTTGGTCACCTGTGATGAACTCACAGTTCTTAGCCCTGGAAGAGGAAGCCCTGGCGAGAAAGCTGTGCAGGCCAGGCCTGACGCAGGCTATTAACGTGGAGGTAACCGAGGCGCAGAGGGAGTTTCCAAGGTGGTGTGCCTCACAGGGGTAGGGTCGGGGACCAGTCAGCTCTCCCTTGGGACAGTGGCGAGTCTTGCTCAGCTCTCCTACAACACAGCAAGGTCACAAAGCTGCAGCAGGGAGCAATGGACACACAGTGGCAGGAGATGCATTAGAAGCTTTGTACTCAAAGTGTAGTCCCCCAACAAGCAAGCTGACCAGGGAGCAGGGCCAGGCCTCGCATGAGATGAATAAAGCACCCAGGGCCCAAATTGAAGGAGGCACTACCTGAGGGTCCTACAAGTGCCCATGTGATGGACGAGTATTACTTTTGCAAATACAGGCAATACCTGGTTGAATTAGGCTTTGCTTTATTGCACCGCACAGGTGCTGCATTTTTTTTTTTAAACAAATTGAAGGCAAGACCTTCTGTCAGCAAAAAGATTACGATCCATTTTATTGTGGTGGTCTGGAAGGGAACATGCAATATCTTCGAAGTTATGCCTGTATACAGTAAAATAGTCACGCCAATGGCAGCTACCTCTTATCTGAGGCGATGGAGGCCAAGGATATGTCGATGAACTCGGCAGTTCTGCAAGAGAGGGGCAACAGCAAGAGCAGAGTAGGCTGCAGCTATCAGCTTGCAAGCATTCCAGATAAAATGCAGCAGGTGAATTTGGCAAGTCAGTTCAGTGGAAGACAACCAGGAGGCACCCTAGTTGCTAAAATGTTAAGGACCATTGCATTGTCCTGCAGAGCAGTGGTTTGTACAACACCCTTTGGGAGCAGTTGCAGTAGAATGAATGCATCCTCCAGGGTGAGGCCGTAGAGAAACCTAGAGAAGAAAAACCTGTGCCTGACAGCTGAGGGACCTTCAGAGATTCCAAAAGTCTGGCGAATCTAGGAGAGGTCGGGGGTGAGTGAGACAGGGCTCTCCTGGCTGCTCCAGGACATCTGGCTTAGCATTCGCAGTGCAGCAGAAGGTGGGGATGAGGGGTTTCTGCATCCAGGCCCATTCTGGATCCCACTTATCATTCTGTGTGTGGGGGATTGGGTTCAGCAGGGCTCAGAGGGCAAGGCTGAGGGGACCTCAGCTTCCCCAGCAGAGCCCCCAGCCCATGCTGTGATCTGCCTCAGGCTCGAGAGCTGTCGTGCTTGGATGTCTGTGTGGAGAACACGAAGAGCACAGCCATGGACTCAAGTGAGACCTGCTCAGAACCAGGTCTGACTTCCGCCTGGAAGGGGGCAGGGAGGGTGAGATGAAGTGGCTGGGAAACCCATACAGGGCAGGGGGCGGGCAGCAGGGCAGAGCTTGCCTCTTCCTTCTTGCTCACAGAGCAGAAAGGCAACATGTCTCCTCCGGGCAGGAGGGTCCCCCTAACTTGGGGGAGGGCATGCCACAGGAGGTGGGAGTCCCATGGAGTTGGGGGTCTGGCAGACGGGGGCAGGAGCTTTCCAGAATCCTGTTTGGCATGGTCCAGCCACCCGGGCCTCCAACCTGTCCAGGCAGTACTGCCAGGGTTCTGGGTCCTTGCTGGGTCTCTTGCTTCCCTCATGTTAACCTTCCCTCTCTTTCCTTAGACCAGGACAATCTGGAGCTGGAGCTGGTGCTGAAGGGGTCATATGAGGACACACAGAGGTCTACCCTGGGCACAGCCTCTGCCTTCCGCTTTCACTACATGGCGGCTCAAGAGACAGAGCTGAGTGGGCACCTGAGGGTAAGTCTTTGGGTCTCGACTCTGGAGCTCTCCCACCAACCCAGCCTTGGGCCAGGTCCGGCTGCTGCAGGCCCCTCCCAGGCCTTCCGCCTGCCAAGGCCATTCCCCTGTGGCCTTGTCAACTTCCCCCAGTTAGGCTCTTGGCAGACAGGAGGATCTCCAAGGCCTGGACACCATGTCTGTCTTTGTTTGAAACCTTTAATGGCTTCTCCATTGATGCTCTTAGAACAATATCTCATGTCGGTGCCTACCTACTCTGCAGAGCCTGACCCTTGCTCGGCTCTGCTGCCTCATTTTGATCCATGTTCCCCCTCACTCATGATGCTCCAGCCATAACATGTCTTTTCGTGCTTTTCCAGCATGCCAGGTGCTTTCCATGTCCTCCTCTGGCTCCTTCCAAGGCTGCCTGCTCTTCCTCCTCTTCCTCCCCCTCCTCCTCCTCCTCTTTTAGATCTCAGCTCAAATGGCACCTCTTCAGAGGGGCCCTCCTTGACCCCTCATCTTAAATAGACCCCACATATGTCTCCTCTGGTTACTCTGTCTTATCACACTTACTTCTTTCCTTTATAACACTTAATAACATCAGTTCATTACCTGTTTCTTTATAAATTTTTGTAAATTCATACATGACTTAGAACAATAACTAAATATTAGCTATTATTACACTAAATATTAGCTGTTATTTTCATAATTAGCATTATAATTTTAATCGTTATAAATATTGTCATTATTTTTGCATTATCAAGAAAGAATTGGCATGTGTGTTTGGATCACTGTTTAGATGCTCTGTAAGGAGTTGCTGAGTGAATGAGTGACTGAATGAATGCGTATTTCCCTGCAGAGCTCTAAAAGCAATGGCTGGAACTCAGACAACTCAGCTGGGCACCTCACTGTGCCTCTAAGGCCCTCGGCTATGGGGAAGGAGATGACCATTGATGTTCCTGCCACAGATGTAAGTGGCCTCAATTGGATGGGAAGTGCAAGTGAGAATAAAGATGGGGGAGCCCAAGGCCCCCAGTGGATACTCACATACCCTTCAGGGTCTAGGACATCCTGAGCAAGGTCTCTTGTTTTGATTTTAGGCCCCAGGAGTGAGGCTACAGCTCAAGGCTGAGGGCTGGTAAGAGACATTCATATCTGTTGGGGACGGTGAGGAGTGGTCACGGGACAGGGGAGTGCTGTTGAAAGAGTGGTCCTTGGGGTTGGGAGCAGGGAGGTTATCTGGTAGCTATTGTGGGCTTGGCCAACCAGTGGCTGAGCTCTGCAGGTGCCCACTGACCCTTGGGTCCTCTGTTGCCCCAGCCCTAAGGAACTGGCTGTGCGCTTGGGCTTCGATCTTTGTGCAGAGGAGAAAGCGTTCCTGAGCAGGAGGAAGCAGGTGGTGGCCAGGGCCCTGAAGAAGGCCTTGCAGTTGGACAGAGACCTACAGGAAGACGAGGTTTGGGGAATACACGGGGGATAGGGTGCAGATATCTTGGACTGGCCTAAGGGACTCCCTGATTCCTACACCCTCTCCAGACACTCCAGCCAGCAGAGACTGGGCAGTGAGCGTGTGCGAGGGGATAAGGGGCATGGGTATGCCCTGGGGCTCTTCTCACTCCCGTTGGAGCTGTCACTTCCTGGGGAGGGAGTGGGTGTTAGCTCTGACTGACTCCATCTGTCCCTGACCACTGTCCTGATCAGGTCCCTTCTCTGAAGGCAGGAGGCAGTTCTTTCCCTGCCCTTGTTAAGCCAGCCTGTGTCTTTGTGTGGCCCAGGTCCCCATCGTGGGCATCATGGCCACAGGAGGAGGCGCCCGGGCCATGACCTCTCTCTATGGCCACTTGTTGGCTCTGAAAAAGCTGGGACTCCTGGACTGTGTGACCTACTTCAGTGGCATCTCAGGAGCTACATGGTGAGGGCTCTGGGGACTGGAGGAGCAGAGGATGACCAGGCCCCAGAAGGGAGTGGGGTGGAGGTCAGAGGGACCCTCTATACGGGGAAGCTAAGTAGGTGTGAACAGTATGGTCTGATGGGTGCCAAGCAGTTTTCTCAAAAGGGAGGAAACAGACATTACAGAGGTCTTACCTTGAGTGAGGCATTACAGGATGTTACTCCATGCAGCTGATTCAAAAGGAGTTGGGTTTGAGTCTCCACAACATCCTTAGTGGCTGGGTGGCTTTGACAAACTTATTTCCTCTGATTCTCAGTTGACTCACCTCCAAAATGGGGGTAATAATAGTACATCCTCCATGGGATTGGAGTAGGACAGCCCAAGGAAAACACTTAATAAGTCTGACATCTTCCAGGAGCTCCAGATTGATAGCTCTCTTTTCTTTGATTGTTATTAACTCATTTAATAATACTCATGACACTCTCTAGGGTAGTTTTTCTTATTGTCCCTATAGTATAGATGAGGAAATTGAGGTCAAGAGGTGCTATTATACCTAGAGACAAAATTGCCTTCCTGCACCCCACCCTGCCTGTAGCAGTGAGTGGAACTTCTCACTGTTTGAGATGCATTCCTTTGAGTCTTACTGAAATGTGACTTTAAAGGAGTAAAAGAGACGTGATCTCCTCAGAGGAGTTTAGGTGAGTGCTGTTGACAAGCAGTCTCAAAGGGCTTCAGGATGGACCTGTGAGGTTGGGAGCAGGGTCTAGAGCTGGGCTGTACAACACAGTCACTGCTGGCCGCCTGTGGTTAGTGAGCACTTGAAATGTGCCTACTCCAAATTGAGATGTGTTATAAATATAAAATACACAATGAATTCTGAAGACTGGGTTTGGAAAAATATACATTTATCTTAGTTTTTTATATTAATTACATGTTGAAATAATTTGGGGGTATATTAAATTAAGTATATCATTAAAATTAATTTTTACTGATCTCTTTTTACTTTTTAAAAGTGTGGTTACTAGGAAATTTTTAATTACATATGTGATTCACATATATTTATATTGGACAGCGCTGATTTGGGAGAGAAAGCCCCGAGGCATTTTCCAGACAGGCGTGGCTTTGGCTGCAGGAGCATCATGTTGGGAGAAGTCAAGTGTGGGAAGGTGACCCATGCTGCGCCCCAGGATTCTATTGTACTGTCCCTTTGTTCTCCAGGACAATGGCCCAACTATATGGGGACCCTGAGTGGTCGCAGACGAATCTCGAGGGACCTATCCGACACACCCGGGAGCATCTGGCCAAGAGCAAGTTGGAAGCCTTCTCCCCAGAGCGCCTGACAAGCTACCGCCAGGAGCTGGAGTGGCGAGCAGAGCAGGGGCTGCCCACAACCTTTGTGGACCTGTGGGCTCTCGTTCTGGAGTCCATGCTGCACAGCCAGGTAAGGCACCTGCGCATGCGAGTTGGAGCATGAATGCAAGAAGAGGGCTGGGGCAGTCGCGCAACACCAGCTGCGCATGTTCATTTTCTGCAGGGTAAAAGTCCTGGACCCTTGGTTAAATGATGTGAGAGCCACTGCATTTCAGTGTCTGGACAAATTTGGGAGGCCAGCTTTTTGAGGCAGGCTATTCTTCATTTAAATTGCCATGAAACTGAAATTTCTGGATCATCCAGAAGCAAGGGACCAGACAATGCCAAAGTCAGTTTAGCAGGCAAAGCTTTTGCTTGTGTTTAACAGTCAGTGAGATTGCTCCAAGAGTTCTTATTTTATTTATACTGCAATATGAAATATATCTTTCTCTTCATCTTCCTGGTAATGTTAAAAGCACAGACTTTGGCGCCAAAATCCCTGGGTTCTACTCCCTATGCCAATTACTAGGCATGTGTTCTTAGGCAAGTTATTTAACCTCCCTGTGCCTCAATTTTCTCATCTGTAGGATAGGAATGAGAATGGTCCCCACCTAACGGCATTGTTGTGAGCACTCAATGGTAACTTGCATAGAGTAAGCATACCGTGTTAGCTAGTATATTTCTGTACTATTATCCTAACGCCATTAAGACAAAACTGAGCATATAAATTTTTAATACATTGCTTCTTTAAGGAAAGCTTAGTAAGTTAACTACTGAATCTTACATTAACTGATACAATTAGTAAAATAAGTGAGTTTTACATTATTGTTTTACCACATATAATTATCCGAACAAAGTTTCTTTTGAATCATTTGAAACAACTGAAACACAAAATGTATACTTAACATGCCTAACAAAAAGTAAACTATCAAATATGTTAGTAGAGGAAAAATTCTTATTTTTCTTATCTTTGGGTATCAGGAGTTTGACCAAGAATGAGTATTATGTAAAACAACCAAAAATGAATTTGCTTTGAATTTTTTTTAAATTGTGGGTAAGGATTTTTATTAATATGGTATATGTTGTGGTATGTTAATTTTTTTAAGATTTTATTTACTTATTTTTAGAGAGAGGGGAAGGCAGGGAGAAAGAGAGAGAGAAACATCAATGTACAAGAGATACAGCAATTGGTTGCCTCTCACATGCCCCCAGCTGGGGACCTGGTCTGTAACCCAGGCATGTGCCCTGACTGAGAACTGAACTGACATCCTTTTGGTTTTCAAGCTGGTACTCAGTCCACTGAGACACACTAGCCAGGGCTGAATTTTTGTTTTTAAATTTTATTCTTGCTGGCAAGCGCAATGCTACTTGGAAGTTACCAGCCATTCTTACTTTTTTATTTATTAGTTTAAAAATATTTATTTTAAAAATCTTAATATTATTAAGTATTTATTATGACAATCTTCAGACCTAAGAAAATGCATAAAGCATAAAGAATAATGTGATAAATATTCATGATTTTATCAACCAGTCTAAGAAATGAAATGTAACAGAAAAAGTTAAAGACCCCAATGGTATTTTCCTCCCACACCCAGAGGTAACCACTATTCTGAATTTAGGTTTATGATCACATGCACGTCTGCAATCTATGTATTTTATCATATTACATAATATGTAATTACATAACATGTATTTTACATACCTATATTATATACACCTTTACTATGTGTACTTTTATTAAAAATATATATCCTTAAGGAAAATACATTATTTACACAAATGGTTTTGTACAAGTCTCCCGATGCACATGCATAAGAGATTCTCTGGGCCTGAAAGCTGTACACCGAGTAGCGCAATTGTTAGGCCACGTGGACCTTCCACTTTCCTGGCTGTTGCCAAGTTGTTCTCCCAAAGGGGTGTTTTAATTCACAGTTCCACCACCAGTGTATTATAGTTTCTTTTCTCTACATGCTCTTCAGATTTTTAAATTTTTGTTTATTTTATGGGTAGGCAATGAAATTTTAATGTAGTTTTTCATTTTCTTGGTTTTTAGTGAGATTGATAGTGTTTTCAAGTATGTCATAGCGACTTCCTCTTCCGTGGATTATCTACTCAAATTCTTCTACATCTTTCCATTTAATTAATCTTTTTATATCATTTTGTAGGAGTACTTTATATATTCTGGAGGTTAGTCCCTTATCAGTTCTAATAGGTTTTGATGCATAATTTTAATACAATTCAATGTGTCATTCTTTTCCTTCATGGTTTGTGCTTTTAGGGTCTTCTTGAGAAATCTTTTCCCCTCCTAAAGTTTATAAAATAGCTTCCTATATTTTCTTAAAAGTTTTAAAGATTTATCTTTCACAGTTAGACTTTCAGTTTGCCTTGAGTTTATCTTCAGGTATTATGTGAATAGGAATCCAGTTTTATTTTTCTCACATATAGGTAGCAAACTTTCCCAATATCGCTTACTTTTTTTTTTTCCCTCCACTGATCTGTTTTACTACTTCTGTCATGTGTTAGCTTTCATATATTCACAGCCCTCTCCTGAGCTCTCTATTCCATCCTGATGGGGCTGATTCTCTATCCCCATGCCAATATCACACTGGATTAGTTACTCTACCTTTATAATAAATCATGGCATCTGACAGGGCAAATTTCCCCCCATCTTCCCCTTGGTTCTTCTCAGAATGATCTTGACTATTTTTGGCCCCTTTCTGTATGCATAATAGAATTAGCTAGTCAAATTTCATGATAAATATTATTGGGATTTTTATTGAAATGACATTGAATGTATAAAACCAATATAATTACTTGAAACATTTTTATTTCATTAATATATCCTACGTATTATTTGCATCTACTGTTTAAGTTCATGTTGAGTTTTGAAGGCATTTGTTTTATTAGCTGACTTTTCTGCCTGGTGGCACCAATTCGTTACCAAGGAGTGGGAGAAGCTTATTAACAGTTTGCTTTATGAGGTGCTAGAAAATGCAGTCTGATCTTAGGCCATAAAGAAGACTTTAATTTAATTACCATTTGATCCTCCAGTAATGACTGAAAGCACAGTTTTATGGACAAGGGTTATTTATTATGGTCATTTTTTTTAAAGGCAAACTTAGTTTTTTTCCGTTCACAAGAATAAAAATTCTTGTGGTGTCATTGAAGGATAATGTATTCTATAAAATGAGCACCCATTTGGCTTTAAAGATGTTGTCCCAGTAGGAAGGCTTTTCAAATATTATTCCCTTTTCCTTAGTTTTTGTGCTTTATCTCTTAAAGCTAACACTCATTATTTTAAATAATTCTTTAGACAAATTTAGTGTTGATTTTAAATTTGTCTCTAGATAAAAAATAAGTATCTCTGTACTATACTAATCTAAGATACCAAGTCATTTAAAAATGCCAGAAAATATAACTCCATTTACAACAAATTACAATTTCATTAACATTAAGTATTATCAGAGAATTATTATACCTTGAACTTTACTCAAAACAACTTCACTAGTTCATATACTACTATAATATTGCTTCAGTTTTTGTAAAACAAAAAATTTGTAAAATACACTAGTTACAATCAGTGCTTCTCAAACTCTGTTTGAAACTTTTGTCTTTAATCTTTTGCTGGCAGGCACTGAAATGCTTAGACGCTGCTCAGCATTCAAGAAGAAACTCATTTTTCTCTTATTTTTTCCTGAATTTAGGTCTTACATGATTTTCTTTAACTTTGGACAAAGGGTTTCACCATCATTAGTCCCGCCCTGTACAGTGCCCTAGCCACACCAGCAGGCCGCCAACACTGCACCAAGGCTCCCTCACTTCAGGTGGGACCCTGAGTCATCAGAGTGCTGTCCTGCTGGGTTAGGGACCCTCATACGGGAACTAGGGGGCTAGAGATCCAGAGCCTGCCCTCACTTTCCGGTGAGCGACTGAAGGAAAAGAAATCCTGTTTCAGTCGATGGAGGGCTGTGCTGGTCCGTTTCCAAGCCTTTCCCCAGAGCAGACATTGGGCATCTGTAGCAAAAGGACACACTTCCCCTTGTCATACATGCCACAACCAAGCAAACAGGATTCCTAACTAAAAAGACGTTGAGAATGGGAACTGCAGGTGTTAATCAAGCGCCCTCCTTTCTCAACACATATGCACAGACACGCCTGCAGGGCTGACTTGCAGATGTGACAGGTCGTCAGTTCCTGCAGCCTAAGACATGGCGGGGTGGGGTGGGGTGGGGGGGTTCCTGTGGATTCCCTTTAACTCAGGTCACACTGAGTGTCACACTGAGTTGTGTTGATTCTGCCTCCAGCTCTCCTACCACCTCGCTGCTACTGCCTCAACTCAGGCCTTCTCTGATCCCTCCCCTCAATTTCCTTCCTCATCGTCCTGTCAGTTCCACTTACAACCTAAAAGAGGATTCCCATGTCCTTTCTAGAAAGCAATACACGTGCCTAGGCGTGTGTGCACCTTTGGGTCTGTGTGTCAGGGTGTGCCTCCACTGCACCCTTCAGCCCATAAAGATGGGGCTGCTGGAACCACAGGATGCAGGGTGAGGGCTACAGACCGGGGTAGCTGGGGGGACACTGTCGTCCTTGCGAATGGCACTCTCTGCACAGCCCCACGCGGTGACCATGCACACAGGGCTGATCAGAATGTCCCAGATCCTAACAGGGGAGCTGCCTCCTCACCCCCGGCCTGTGTCCCCACCTCACTCCTGTTCTGATGGAGCACCCTGCTTAAAGGGTACTCCTACCCTCACTTAGGCCCTTATGCCCCTCCATCCCAGGTGATGGACCAGAAGCTGTCAGAACAGAGAGCTGCACTGGAGCGGGGCCAGAACCCTCTGCCCCTCTACTTGAGCCTCAATGTCAAAGAGAACAACCTGGAGACGCTCGACTTCAAGGGTATAGCCCTCAGTCCTGTCCACTCCGCCCTTCAACAGACACGTGTCAGTGCACACACGGACACACACATGCACACCTATTCTGCGCCCTGTGGGTCCCTAGAAAATTCAAGCAGGAAACTACTATATAGACAGATGGGTGACAGAGGTCTGACAAGGAAGAGGAAGTTCCTCTGTGCGCTGAGGCTTTGCCACAGCGGGAGGGGGACTCCGCGCTGGACCAGCTGGGCTGGCGTCCTGGGACACACACGGTTCTGGTGGGCTGATGAGCCAGGCAGTGGAGCTTGCTGTCCTGGAGGCGGGGGGGGGGGGGGGGGTGACGGTGATGGTGGCAGTGTGGTGACAGGGTGTAGTCCAGGGGTTGGGTGGGGGAGTGGTCCGCCCAGGGATCAGCCTGGCAGGGAGGAGGCCGAGGTCTGTTGGGGATGGGACCTCTGGCTCTCAACAGAGCTGTGGCTTCCCCTGCCCATCGTTCTTGCATTCCCACCCCGCCCTCCTGCGTCTTAGAATGGGTCGAGTTCTCCCCCTATGAGGTCGGATTCCTGAAGTATGGAGCCTTTGTCCCTGCTGAGCTCTTTGGCTCTGAGTTCTTCATGGGGCAGCTGATGAAGAGGCTCCCTGAGTCGCGGATCTGCTTCCTGGAAGGTGAGGGGCGGTCACTTGGAAAGCCCTGGCCAGGCCCGAGCCAGGCTTCTCTGACCAGATGAGACTCCCGGACTCAGGTCTGGCGGAGCCCCTGGGCGAGGGCCGGCCCTGGGCTGTGCACGGCGGGCATGACAGGGGCAGCCTGCTCCCCGGCCCATTTTCCACCGGCACCCCAGGGCGGGCATCGCTGGCTTCTGAGCGAGGGAAACAGGGTGGTGAGTGAGGCTGGAGACTGACCTTTCACGGGGATTTGGCCTTCAGGTATCTGGAGCAACGTTTTCTCCTTAAACTTGTTGGATGCCTGGTATGACCTCACCAGCTCCAGTGAGGCCTGGAAGCAGCAAATCAAGGACAAGATCGGACACCTGGGTAGGAAAGGTAGGCAGCAGGGGAGCCTGGGATGAGGCTGCTTCCCGTTCAGATGCCAGGGGAGGGGGCTGTCAGAGGCAGGCAAGGCCAGGTATCTCCAGGCCCCTCGCTGGACCAACGTCTGTTTCTCTGTGCCCAGAGGATGCCCCTGCCACCTCGAAGGCCTCCTCGTGGCTGGAGGACTTGTGGCTGCAGCCCGGAACGGCCCTGGCCCAGGCATTTAAGGGCTTCCTGACAGGCAGGCCGCTCTACCAGCACACCTCCAACTTCCTCCAGGGCCTCCAGCCACACCAGGACTATTGCAACCAGAAAAATTTCTCTACCTGGGCAGGTAAGGGCCACTGCCGTACGTCCTTGGATAACAAGGTTAGACTCCTGGGTGGAAGTGGACCATGGCTGGGACTGGCACAGGCCTTGGGGTCATAGCATCCAAAACTAGTGCGTGGCCTTGAGAAGGTCTTGGGAAGGGCAGGTGTCATGTGCACGCAGGAGTGACACCGAAGGTAAGAAGGGGACGTGGAGGCAAATGCAATATGAAGCGGGGGACATTGTGAGTGGATGATCTGTGGTGGAGTGGCTGCCCCTCACTATCCCTGCCTCCCCCACCAGACAGCCAGCTGGACTCCACCCCTGGCCAGCTGACCCCACAGGAGCCCCGGCTCTGCCTGGTGGATGCTGCCTACTTCCTGAACACCAGCTCTCCCTCTATGCTCCGGCCAGGCCGCAGGCTGGACCTCATACTCTCCTTAGACTACAACCTGTCCTCGCCTTTTGAGGTACTTCTGGTTACTTGGCCAGGCTGAGCTCCAGGGGCAAGCAACAGGACCACTGGGCCAGTGGCCCAGACCACCGGTGTCCCCAAGGGAGGGAGGGCTGACATACTCTGACCCATATGCTCCTGCCAGGATCCTTGTTTGGGAAGGGCTGTGAAGGTGCAGGGACCCCAGGCTCCCAGGACAGGTGGATGGCAGGGAGCTTGCCATGCCTTCCCCAAGAGGAACAGCTGATCAGAGCTGGGAGGAGACCCTGGCCTGTCCATCCATATCCATCCCACCAGAGCCTCCCTGGGGACTCTGGGGAAGTACGGGGCAGGGCCGTGATACAGAAGTGTTCCCTTACTGAGGTCCTCTGGGCTCTGGGACTTGAATAACTCAGCCACAGCAATCCCAAATGGGGCTGGGGCTGGGATACCCCGCCCGAAGATGTTAACCAAACAGCATTGCAGACCGCTGGCATCCTTTGCCTCCATCTGAGCTGAACTGGGCCATGAACGGGAACTAGGTTGTCTTGACACTGAGGAGTCAGTTTGGGCTGGAGCCATCCTAGCATTTTCTAGAGCGCTGACCTGGGATGACCAGGAAGTACCTGGTTCTTTCTGGCGCCCTCTCCCCAACCAGACGCTGCAGCAGACTGAGGTGTACTGCCGAGGCCGCGGGCTGCCGTTCCCCGGCGTGGAGCCCAGCCCGCAGGACCAAGGCCAGCCCAAGGAGTGCTACCTCTTCTCCGACCCCACCTGCCCCGATGCCCCTGTCCTGCTGCACTTCCCGTTGGTCAATGCCTCCTTCAAGGACCACTCAGCCCCAGGTAAAGCAGCCCCACCCTCCATGACACCCTGGTAGCCTGGCCCCTCTTGACACAGCCTTGGGCCCTCCCCAGTGCCCTTGTGGCCAGCAGAGGATGAGGAGAGTCTTGAAGTTAGCCCCCCCGCCCCGCACCATCAGTTTTGGACGCGAGGGTGCCCTGGTGTCTGCTGCAGATGCCCAGTGCCTGCAGCCCTGCAGGGGCCCTTTGTCCGCAAAGTCATTATGCCGCTGTCCTCTTTGTTATGGCTCCAGGCTCCTTTGCCGCCCCCCCCCCCCAAATCCCCCTAGCTACATCTGGGCCCCTCAGCTCTCCTGCTTTGTGGGGTGGAGTTTGAAGGACCCCAGCATCCAGACACTGCCCGCATCATCGCCATCTGCAGCCATCGCCACTGCTGCTCCGGCACCAGGTTATTGGAGGACTTCATGAACACTCCCCAGGCTAGACAGCCGGAAAGGAGAGGCCCGGTCCCCCTCTCTCCGAGTTCCCTGAACCTACCTGGGGTTTCATCTGGCCTCTGTCATCCTGCCCCAGCCCAGGACGGGGTCTTGTCTCAGTGAGCTGAGCCTCTCTCTGGGACCCCTGAAATCTAAACCCTTCTCACATTTCTTTCAATCCTTGCATTCCACCAACTGCTCTCTCCTTTTGGTGGGAAAACCAGATTTCTGCCTTTTTGCAATATTCCTGGGTTTCTCCTTGCCACCATAATCCCAAACCTTCCAGCCTTACTCTTAACATGTTCCTTACACATCTTGAAATTCTGTTCTTCTCTCAGCAAAGACTGGTTCTTGCAAAGCAGAAGTCCTTCGGTTTTCAGCCTCTTGTTTCCATCATTAGTAACAATCCATTCACTAACTTATTGACTTTGTTGTTCAGCTGTTTCCAGCTTACGCCTGAAAGTGCTTTAGATATATAAGGCTACCTGAATAGTGGAAGAAGTGTAATGCTTATGAAGAAATGTGGGGAGCAGTAAACTCTTCATAGCTCAAAATAGTATCCTCCTATCCACATATATATTTCTGGGCAAAGGACGTAGAGGGCTGGGAGAGAAGCAAGGAGATCCTTCAGTGGGGTGTGGCCCACCTCTGTGCACAGCTGCGAGGCTTAGTTCTACCCAGCTGTGGAGGCCTCTGGGTGCTACTCCTAACTTCCCCCGACCCCTGAGCAGGTGTCCAGCGCAGCCCTGCAGAGCTACCAGCGGGCCAGGTGGACCTCACTGGAGCCACCTCACCCTACACCCTGTTCAACATGACCTACAAGGAGGAAGACTTTGACTGCCTGCTGCAACTCAGTGATTACAATATTCAGAACAGCCAGGACGCCATCCTACAGGCCTTGAGGACGGTCCTGAAGCGCCAGGCCCCGGGGGACGGACTTCCGGGAGCACAGCCTTGAGGCTGCTCGGGAGCCCCAGCGCCCTGGGGGCCAGACTGTTCTTCAAAGCAGCTGCACCTTTTTACTCTCCTGTCGGCATTGTATGGGGGGTCTAATTTCTCCACCTCTTTGCCATACTTGTTATTGGCTGTCTTTTTTATTATCATTATCCCAGTGGGTATGAAGTGGTATCTCCTATGCATTTCTCTAATGACAAATGATGTTAAGAATCATTTCACATACTTATTACTTATTGTTCTTTCATATATCTTCTTTAGAGAAATGTCTATTCAGATTTTCCCCCCATTTTAATTGAGGTATTTGTCTTTTTATTGTTAAGCTGTAAGAGTTCTTTATATATTCTACATAGAAATCCCAGATTCAATGTCTGATTTGCAGTGTTTTTGGTCCATGTGTGGGTTGTTTTCTTACTTTGTTGATGATATCCTTGGAAGCACAGAAGTTTTTTATTTTGATGATACCCAATTTATCCATATTTTCTTTTGTTGCTTGTGCTTTTGTGGTCATATTTAAGAAACCATTGCCTAATCCAAGGTCATGAAGCTTTACTCATATGGCTTTAGTCTTACAGTTAGGCCTTTGATCCATTTTGAGTTAACTTTTGTAAATGATGTGAAGTATAGGTTTGACTTCATTCTTTTGCACGTGGATATCCAGTTATTTCAGCATCATTTGTCAAAAAGGCTATTCTTGCCCCCATTGAGTTGCCCTGAAACCCTTGTTGAAAATCCATTAGCTGTAAAAGTGAGGGTTATTTCTGGACTCTGATTCTATTTCATTGATCTACTTGTCTATCATTATGCTAATACCATATTGTCTTAATTACTGCAGCTTTGTAGTAAGTTTTGCAATCAGGAAGTATAAGTCCTTCAAATTTGTCCTTCATTTTCCAGATTGTATTGGCTATTGAATTTCCACATGAATATTAAGACTAGCTTGTCAAGTTGTGCAAAGAAGACAGCTAGGATTTTGATGGAGATTAAATCTGTAGATGAATTTTGGGGGTATTGACATTTTAACAATTGAAAATCTTATGATTCATGAACATGTGATGTCTATTTATTTAGATCTTTAATATTCTTCAACAATGCATAAATCTTGAATGTCTTTGATTAAATGCCTAAGTATTTTATTTTCTTCAATGCTATTATAAATTGAATTAATTTTCTTAATTTTATTTTTGGATTGTTCATTGCTATTATAAGGAAATACAATTTTTTTCACATTGGCCTTATAGCCTATAATTGTGCTGAACTTGTTTATTAGCTCTAATAGGTTGTTTTTACTCCTTAGAATTTTCTACATAGAAGATCATGTCACCTAAAGATAGAGATGGTTTTACTTCTTCCTTTTTAATCTAAGTGCCTTTTATTTCTTTTTCTTGTCTCAGCTAAAACCTTCATTATAATGTTAAATAGAAGTGACAGACATCCTTGTTTGATCCCAATATTGGAAGGAAAGCACTCAATCTGGAACCTTAATGACTTAATGTCATTAAATATGACATTAGCTGTGGTTTTTTTCTTAGATGCCCTTTGGCAGGTTGAGGAAGTTCCTATCTATCCCTAGTTTGTTGAGTGTTTTTATGATGAAAAGTGTTGAATTTTGTCAAATGCTTTCTTGTGTCTATTGACACAACTATGTAGTTTTTTCCCCTTTATTCTATTAATGTGACATTTGAAATAATTGATTTTTGGATGTGTTCCTGGGATAAATGTGACTTGGTCACAATACACAGTGAGGGGAGGGGGTTAGCCAAAGTAGGTTTATAGCTGTGAGAACACAAAATACAGAGTTGATTCTCATATTATTATTTATTAATTATTGTATTATTTTCCATATAGGTATCTGTAAACCTACTTTTGCCCAGCCCTGTATAATCCTTCTTATGTATCGCTGCCACACTCACTTATGATCTCTCACACTCGAAGGGACACACACACTCACAACTACAGCTGCCCTGACCCCAGGTGACCCCAGGTATCACTGTGATAGAACCTGGCTCTGGGATTGGCCTCGTCTGATGACCTCTCCTCAGGACTGTCTTCCCTCTGCCTCTTATGTATTTGGCTTTATTCCAATTCCACATTTTCTCTGTTTTATCAGAAAACACTTGTTTTTCTGTGACGTTGATGGTATCTACTGGCTGGAGTAGGAAAAAACACTCCTGTTTTCCTCCCTTACTACTCACACAGAACACCTTTGATACTTCTGGCCACCACATGAGCAGGCTTTTCTTCAACACCAAGTAATTCTCAGCAACATCAGCTGATTGTCCTATAATTCAATTAAATTCAGACACCATCCCTCTCCCGTCTTCAGAGAGCAGGGAGTGGGGCTGAAAGCTCCAAGCTTCCACTGTGGCTTGGTTCTTTCCAGTGACCAGCCCCCAACCAGGAGCCCACCAAGGGTCATCTCATAGGAAAGAAGATAGTCTTATTACCCAAGAAATTGAACAGAAGTTGGTGTCAGATGCCCCTATCACTTGGGAAATTACAAAGGTCTTAGGGGCTCTGTGCCAGGAAGTGAGATTGAAGGGTAAATACCAGAACAAATGATCTCCTAGCACCCCTTTTTACAGGAGTTTTAGGAGCTCCATATCAACCACCAGGAACAGAGACAAACATGTTTCTTATTATTTTACACAACTATTGTGTTTTATTTTATGCCGGGCATTTTACATTATTTCCCTTAATTCTCAAATTCTCACCGCTGCCCAAATATGTTCAGTACAATTATTATCCCCACTATATCACCAACGAAACTCAGGGCTAAGGAAAAACAGTCAGCCCCTGACTCGGTCTGCTGGGAGCTGACCTGACCCAGGCCGCTGGGCCATGGTGTCCTCCTGCTGAGCACCACTTTCACCGAACCCCAACGTCAGGCGACAGCGTCACTCCGCGACGGTGATGGATCGAGACAGAAATAAGCCACTCATAATCATGTCTGAGCAAGGACAAAAACAAGATCACCGTGAAACCACCCAAATGACCAAGCTTTTTGCCCTCTCCTGTTTAGCATGAGAGAGTGCTGCTTCTTTGCTAATTATAGATAAAAATTATTAAGACACCCAGTCACAGAACCGGCCCCACTTTCTGACAGCACCCAATCCAGACCAACACTTGGCTTCCTTGAACATTCCATAAATCACCTCACACAAACCCAAAGCTGACAATAAACCCCTTCCACCCCTCCTGGACCCTACCCTATACGTTGCTTCCTTTGGCTGCTTTTAATTTATATGTATATATCCTCAATTCTGTAGCCAGCTGGTCTGCAGTGACGGTGGTCCTGGGGGCCCCTCAACTTGCAGCTGGTAGCTGGAGTGAGTGAGGGCAGTCTAGTGGCACTGTTCCCTCAGACTGCACCATGTGGTAAGTCCCTGGAAAGTGGGGTCGGAAGTCCTGGGCAGACCTGCCTGCCTGGGGGATTGTGCCATCAACCTCACAGTGTAATGAACTCAGGTCACCTATGCTCTGAAGATTGAGCAGGGCACAAGCAGAAAAAAATGACTTGTTCGATTTGGGAAACTTTCAATACAGCCAGAGAAAACACCCAAGAGAACTGCACATCCCAGAGTGGGCAGGGCTGAGGCCCAAGACCACGCCTGGTGCGTGAGTGTGTGTGTGTTTGTCTCTCCCGCACCCCTTGACTAGCTTCCCCAGGCCCCCTGGCCCCCCAGGGCTAGGAGGCCCCGGCAGCCCCACCCTGATCTGGGTGAGGACTGTGACTCTGGCAGCTGTCAGGCCCTGCCCACGGGCTCCGTGTGGATTGCACAAGGCTCTTCCTGCAGCTGGTGGGCCCCTCCTCGGCCAGGCCCTGAGCTGGTGGTAGAGACAGGAAGGCCCTGCAGGCTGCTGTGTCACCAGCCCTGGAATGGGCTGGCGCTCTGCTCTCTGCACAACACAGGTGGTGGCAGTGGGAATGGCAAGCAAAGGGTGAACTGAGAAACAGCCCTTTTTCTTGATTAGGTTGGATTTATCTCAACAATGTAAGAATAGTTTTATATTATGAAACTTGTACATCTTTTTGAGCAATACAGAGACCAAATGAGAATAGTAATATAAAAGTAATTGCTCAAGATTTATGTAAAGTTCTTAAAAAAGTAGAAATTGAAGGACATTCACTTAACCCATATGTAGGTTATCTGTGACGGTTAATTTTATTTCAATTTGGCTGGGCCACAATGCCCAGAGGTTTGGTCAAACAGTGTTCTAAATGTTTCTGCGAAGGTGTTTTTTAATTAGATTAACATTTAAATTGGTGGACTTTGATCACTGGTTCGAGTATAAATTATGTTCTGGATTGTAACACTTGGCAATAATGTCTGGTTTGAAAAACTGGCAATTAACTTCTTCCAGGAATCATGGTTGCAGTTCCAGTAGCTGCCAGCAGGGGGATGTGTTGCGCCATGACAATTGGCAGGGCGAAGAACGGTGTGGTTTGGTAAGCCCCCAAGTTTGCAGAACATACTCATCACTCTGTAAGCCTTTCTGTAAAATATACTTTAAAACTCACATAGCAACCTCAAATATTAATTAAGACATAATTTAGAGCAAAAATCAAAGATCAATGCCTAGGTAAAGCCTCTCACTGACCTAGTATCGCAATCCAGTAGAACTTGGAACTTCCCTCTTTCTTGCCAGGATCCATCAACAGTAAAATGGATAAATAAATCTTGGTGTATTCATATATACCATGGAATATCATAAAGCTATGAAAATGAATACTGTGTCTACACGCAACAATATGGATGGATTTCATAAACATAATGTTGAGTGGGAGAAGCCAAGCGTAAAAGAGTAATACTGAGTGACTGCATTTATAGAAAGTCCCAAGAGTGATAAGATGAATCACGGTCTAGAAATCAGGATAATGTTTACCTTTGGGGATCAAGAGAGTAGTGGTTGGAAGGAAGCATGAGGAGGGTTTCTAGGATAATAATCTACTATTTCTTTTCTTTAAACTTATTATTTATTGATTTTAGAGAGAGAGGAAGG